TTTACTTTCTACGTTTGGGAATTTATCACACTTTTAAAAAACTGTATATTCCTAGTTACATTATGAAAAGAGGTAGCCCCAATTTAAAAAAAAAACATTGTAGAGGAAGTTCATACAAGAAAACACTACCTATGCAAAAACAGATGTCTGACAAAGTCTTATTTTTCAGGGCCTGCATTTTTGCTAAAGACTATTCACATGATTGTGAATTGTTATGGCCTTTGTTTTGAGGAAATGGGACATCTGATGAAGTGTTATAATCTTTCTATCTTAGCTTCTGGCAGCTCTTGATTTGACAAATCTATTGGTTTCCATTCCATTAGGACAAAGGCAGTCAGAAGTCTATGTGCCCTATTAAGACCATTGTTCAGAAATTGCCCTTTGCTGTCTTTTGTCTTTTCAGGATGCTAAAGGCATAGCTCCCCAATGTTCCTGCAAGCTTTCAGAGTCTGCTTCACCTCATTTGTGCAAAAAAGGCTTCTAATTTCCAAGTCTTTGGTTGGGATACAGAGATGTCAAACTTTGCTGACTTCCAGAGGCTCTTCTCATTAGGAGTTGGTACACTATTTTCAGATCGGATTTCGTTCCATATCATCTTTCTGGTTTGGAGCAGCATGTCCAGTAGCTTTAGACTCAGCCAGGTACCTCATTTCCCATTCTCTGATAGTGCCTCTCCCATGTTTACTAATCTATAAAACGTATTTAAAAATTAAAAACTTCCTTGTGACAGTGTGCACTCACCTCCTGTGAGCACTTGCTGTCAGATGGGAGCAATTCTGTGCTCTTTCCTTTCTTTGCTGCCAGTGTCCCCTGTTGGCTATGGCCCTCAGGCAGGTCTTCAGTGGCTCAGCCCTCCAGCTAAGTCACTCAGTTAATAGTTGACTGGATGGATGAACCCCTTGTGGGGTAAAAGGTCTAACAGGGCTTGTCCCTGGGCCCTTATTCGTGTCTTTAGTCCAGTCTCTGGGCTCAGTTCTCAGCTCCTTCTGGGCTAGCGTTAGTCCATGTCTGCTCTGGTATAGAGCAGTGCCCCCAGGGCACAGGCACTGCCTTGGTACAGAGTAGTCTCCCTGGAGACTCTCTGCCTTTATCAGTTCTTATTGCCCCAGCTCTGAAGCCAGGTCACTCCTTCAAGTTCAGTCCCCTTCCAGGGTAACCAAGTCCAACAAATGGTTGGCCCTCTGCAGGGTCTTCAGCCCTGTCCATGAGCCCTTTAAATTCCTGTGCTTAAGCTTCTAAACTAAACTTAAAAAGCAACAGAGGGTCCTGTGGCACCTTTGAGACTAACAGAAATATTGGGAGCATAAGCTTTCGTAGGGTAAGAACCTCACTTCTTCGGCATCTGAAGAAGTGAGGTTCTTACCCACGAAAGCTTATGCTCCCAATACTTCTGTTAGTCTCAAAGGTGCCACAGGACCCTCTGTTGCTTTTTACAGATTCAGACTAACACGGCTACCCCTCTGATACTAAACTAAACTTGTCTCCTTTTTATGGCTTTGGTCACTTTGCATGTGGAGGGGGAGGAGACACGGACCCGTCCACTACTCCGGATCCCAAACCAGGAACCGTATAAATAGAAGACGTGTGGTTTTCTTTAATAGCTGCTACTGCATTCCATAGGCCTTTAACCATGTAGCCCCTTCCTCTTCACCCTTACCTCAGGGCTGAAGTTCTCAACTCTTCTACTTCCTCACTGAATGCCAATGTCACCAACAACCAGTCAGGAGCACCCCTCCGGTACCAGCCAAAAACAACTAGCTCAAACCCTGCAGTTCCATTCAGCTGAGCTTGCTGTGCTATGATTGGCTGCTTCCCTGCAGCCTTTCTAGCCTAGGGTGACCAGACATCCCAATTTTATCGGGACTGTCCCAATGTTTACTTGTTTGTCCCGCATCCCCACCGATGTTTGGTGGGGACGCGAATTGTCCCGATATTTTGCCCTCCCACACACAGACGGAGGGGGATCACGCTCCCCCGCCTCTTCCCCAAGCACACCGCATTCCTCCTTCCTCCTCCCTCCCAGGCTTGCACTAATCAGCTGTATGGCGGCGCAAGTGTGGAGGGAGGTGGGAGAAGCAGGACACGGCAGCCCGCTCAGGGGAGGTGGAGCGGAGGCGAGCTGGTGTGGGGGAGCAGGGCGTGGAGCTGCGGGTGGGCGCTCCGCCCCCACCAATTTTTCCTATGCTCCGACGGCTCTTGGGGTTTTTTTTTTGCTTTTGTTTTTGTTTCCTCTGCCGCTGGCACCCCTCTCCCCCGCTTCCCGATATTTCACATCTCTCATCTGGTCACCCTATTCTAGCCAAGCCTGGAGGACCCACCTTCACCGCTCCTTTCCTGGGACAGGGCATGAGGTCTCAAAGGCATGGTACACCAGGTCACACTCCTGTTAGTTTCGCTAGTTATTAACTTTCTTCCCACATGCAGCTTCATTTGTAAACAATTCTATCAATTTGGCAACCACATGAATGGCAGGATCCTAGCAGTGCAAGGGTGTTTTCAGTGGTTTTAATCTGAAATGTGTCTAAAAATAGTATTGGAGGATCTACGTTTGTGGTCTTTCAATTACTTCCTTATGAAGTACCATATATACTTGTTCATAAGCCAAATTTTTTTTAGTAAAAAGGGGAAGCACCAGAGAAGGGGGTCGGCTTATGAACGGGTAAGGAGAGGGAGAGATGGGACACAGCCCTTCCTCCCAACAGCGGGAGCAAGGAGAGGCAGCACTGCCAGCAGAGACAGAAGGGAAGAGGCAGGGCGAGAGCCTCTCTGCTTCTGGCCATGCTGTTCTCCCCCCAGCCTCCGAAGCAGCTGCAGCTGTGCCACTCGGCCCCGCCCCCCAGAGCAGGCTGCGGCCGCGCTGCCCAGCCCTCTGGAACAGGCTGCGGCCACGCTGCCCAGCCTGCCAGAGCAGCTCCAGCCAGGTCAGAGACATCCTCCCCTGGCCCACCCCAGATAAGGTGGGAAGGGATGGGATGGGGAGAGTGAGGGGGGTCCCGGGCTAGGGGTGGGGTCATGCGGGGGGTGGTCACAAGGGTTACTCCCCTGACTCCCAGCTTCTCCCCTCAAAAAAATTTCCCCACCAGTTGCTGTCCCAGCCCATCAGGGTAAGCAGCTGGCGCGCCGGGACACTTTATTTACTTAGGGTTACCTCCGTGCCTGCGGACGCTCGAGGTAAACAAACCGTCTCAGCCCCCCCAGCGGCTTATCCTGATGGCCTGGGAGCCAAAGTTTGCTGACCCCTGAATTATAGGGTCGGCTTATGAACAGGTTATAAAAATTTTGCATTTTTACTTATCCATCTTGGGGGGTCGCTTATAAACGAACCGGCTTATGATCAAGTATATACGGTAAGTCCAATTTACAAGTAACTGCCAGCCCTT